GTGGAGGATGGGGAGGAGGAATATGAGGAGGAGTTGGAGGAGGACATGCACGAAGAGTGGGAGGAGGAGGAGGAGGAGGACGAGGAGGACGAGAAAAAATGGAGGACGAACATCTTGTGTGGTCGCCGCTCGGGTCACGAGATTAGCGAGGCCGTGCCCTCCTCAGGTTTCTGTCTGGTCTCGGAAAGTGGTCCAACGATTGGAGAGCAAGCGTGAATTTCGTCTCGGTGGCAAGGGCTATCGGGCTCTCCTCTTCAGTGGTTGGAGTATTACAGATCCTTTAGCGCCCAAGGTTGTGCCCAGGAGGAGGACGAGCACGATGAGGAGGACGCGGGGGAGGAGGAGGAGGAGGAGGAGGAGGAGGAGGAGGAGGAGGAGGAGGAGGGAGGGAGACGAGGAGAGGAGGAGGGCGGCGGCGGCAGAGGAAGAGGAGGAGGGGAGGAGGAGGAGGAGGAGGAGGAGAGCAGGAGGAGGAGGAGAGCAGGAGGAGAGGAGGAGGAGGAGGAAGGAGGAGGCTAGGAAGACTAGGAGGAAAGAGAAGAGGGGGAGGAGGGTGCGGCAGGAGAAGGAGGGGAGAGAAGGAGGAGAGGAAAGGAGAGAGGAGAGGAGGAGGAGGGCGAGGAACAAGAAGAGGGGGCTAAGCCGGAGGAGGAGGAGGAGGCGGAAGAGGTGGAGGAGGAGGAGGAAAGAAGGATAAGGACGGAGGATAATGAAGTTGGACAGTATGAGAACGCGGAAGAGAGGAGGAGGAGAAGGCGGAGGAGGAGGAGGAGGAGGAATGGAAAAGGAGGAGGGAGGAGGAGAGGGGAGGAGGAGGAGGAGGAGGAGGACGGAGGGGAGGAGGAGGGGAGGGGAGGGAGGAGGAGGAGGAAGAGGAGGAAGGGAAGATGGGGGGGTGGAGGAAGGGAGAATGGGGAGGAGGAGGAGGAGGAAGGGAAGAGGAAGGGGGAGGAGGAGGGGGAGGGGGAGGAAGAGGAGGAGGAGGAAGGAGGAGAGGAGGAGGAGGAGGAGGAGGAGTTGGAGGAGGAGGTGGCGGAGGAGGAGGAGGAGGAGGGGGAGGAGGGGGAGGAGGGGGAGGAGGAAGAGGATGACGGGGGAGGATGACGGGGGAGGAGGAGGAGGAGGAGGAGGAGGAGGAGGAGGAGGAGGAGGAGGAGGAGGCGGAGTGCGACACACCTGCAGGACACCCACTTCCCACGACGGTGAGGGGACAACAAGCACAGACACAGAGCTAGTAGCCACCATGTGGGCATTACTCTACATGATGCAGGACGGGTCTTGCATCCCAGCCACCATTCAGAGTGACTCGCTCAACTCTGTCGACACGCTTAAGTGCACCAGAGCGGTTCCCCATGGGGACCTCCTGGCCCATCACACCAGGGACCTCATCGATCTAGTTAGGCAACGTCGCTCTGCCCATCTAACTCACATCAAGGGTCATGGTGGACACCCCTGGAACACCCTTGCAGACTTCCTTGCCAAAGCAGCACTAACGGACACCATCCAAACGTCCAGTTTCCCCGATATTTTGTTGGCGGCCACAGAGTGGTTTGACAGCAGAAGTTGGGAATGGCTTCGGACGGCGTCCCAGGTTGAGCAAGAAGCAGATCCACCTTTCCACTCGGAAGTCAAGGACATTACCCTCGCAGAGCCTTGTGCTTGCAAGTCCCAGGTCCAAAAACACCAGGAGACAGTCAAGGTGCTTCTTCAGGTTGTTTGGCAACTCAACATCAAGAGTCTTGCCAATAGCTTCCGTGCAGGCCTAGCTGGTAAGAAGCGTGCTGCTCGCAACATGCTCATCTACGAACAGTTTCGCCAGGCGGCCCCTCTCTTCAATGGGTTACAACAGACTCGCAACCCTGACGGCACCCGTATGACGGCTGGCTTCTTCGTCGCCTCGGCTGGACCCAGCTCTGGAAGCGGACATCACTCCTCAGGGGGCCTGGGTATGGAGCTCTGGGTCAACACGGCCACCCCATATGCGATCAAAAACGGCACTTCCCTTTTCCTCACGCCCAAGTCGGTTCGCGTACTTCACGGAGACCCCAGATTGCTGATCACTGCCATTCGCGCACCCGGCCTCAGTATTAGCGTTGCGGTCTCACACGCCCCGCATATAGGTGACGGTAATGAAGCAATAGACCTCTATTGTGAGAAGGTACTGGCATTGGGAGAGAAGTACGGTTTTATCTGCTCCTTTCGGACTCCAGCGCGGCGCTAGGCAGCATCACATCTGAGCACGTTGGAGCCGAGGGCGATGCCCAAGTTCAGGAGTACCAAGGAGACTGCTTCTCACAAACCGGCCATGCCGTGAATCTCTTTGTTTTCAACACCCTGGTTCCCCGAGAAGATATTCAGTGGACGTTT